CCTTTTGAGGTGAATGGCATATTCAGATATTAATTTAATGGAAATTAAATCAAACGAGTTTTTGTAATAGAATTTTTAATTTTTTTTTTGCGCGGGCCCGGCGAAGGGGGGCCGGGGAGTATCGATTTTTATTTTTGGCGCGGGCAAATCGCTCCACAATTAACGTTATTTCCGTTTTCTAGTGTAGGAAGATGAACTCGTAGAACGCCGATAATAAAATGTTATCGAAACCGCAGTGATAAGGCGGGTTTGTTGTCATTTTTGTGGTTATTATCGGCGGGTAACGAATAACACATTACGCTCTCGTACAAATATCTAACGCCAAAAACTGCACTTATCCAATTTTCGAGGATATCCGCGCCAATTTTGCGCAAAGTGCTCGCGATAAACACGGACAGGCAGACGGACACGGTGGCGAGTTCCACTTTATGTTCAAATCAATACCGAACTTCTCGGAGATTCCAGGTTGAATCGATACACTTATTAAAAAATAAATAAGCGTGGCCCTTCTCGTTAAACACGAACGCGACCTCTTTTTAGTCACTTGTTTTACAAAAAGTCAACCGCATAATTTTTTTGAAGCACCTCGTATACACATTTGAATATTCGCGGTAGCTCTTTTGGAAACTAAAACTAACGAACAACGAAGAATGTGGTCCATAAAATCCAAGTACTGGAGAAATAATCGAAAACAATTCTTGAATTTGAAATTTCGGGAGCAAAGTGAATTCACAACATTTTTGAGAAAAGAACAATTAAGTGTAACAATGGTAATTTTTCCCCACATTTTTTTTTTGGTAATTTCCAAACAGGAAAAAAAATGTTGAAAGGCGGCTTTACTTCAGCTATTAGCGACGATACCCTTCAAGAAAACCAACGTAATTTTCGAAGGCACTTTAAAAAAAGGTCCTACGCAACTGGTTCAAGCTCATTTTAATATTGTTGATGATGGTATATTGTGTTGATGAATTGCCTGATGATGGGACGAGGAGGTCCGAAATCGATAGCGACTAACAAACATTTTCAATAAAAAAGTTAGTGTAATACATTCGTCAACTATTACTCATTTTAATAATAATAATAATAATAATTTATCAAAACTTTTGAAACAACTTGTACATTTTGAAAATGAGCTGAAACAAATATAAAATGTGCACAAATCTTTTTTAAAGTATCGACATCACCAATAGGTATTTTTCTTTCAGGCCTTCTAATCATTATTTGTGAGTACCCTCCTCCGAGAATCCGTTCTTGAGATACAATCCGATCACGATAAGAGGTCGAGAGTGTGTTAACCCCCCCCCCTTGGCACCACTAAGGGCATGCGAATGCAAAATCTGATATCAATTCGTTGTCATATGTAAAAGTTATGCACGACCGACAGACGGACGGATAAAACGCAAACTGGCAAAGGCGCTAAAAACTGTTTTATTTCTTTTTGAAAAATGTGGCTAGTAAATAATCTTCGATTTTGCCTTACCGAATGGAGATCGAATTAATATAGGATTTGGACGATTTCCCTGTCGAGATTGGTGCATGAAGAAGGTCCCATTCGCTCTCTTACATCACTAACAATTACCATGCGTACAGTGCGTTCAAATTTTCCTGTTCTGGGACATATTCAATAAAAGAGAGTGACTGACTGGACGTTTAGAGGACTCTGGGGGGGGTATGGAATACCACTACCTCGCCGGAATGGGTTATTTGCTGAACCTTTTCAGAAAGGAATTGTCATGATAGCTTTTGGAAAAGCTTCCATGACATTCCTCTCATGCTGAGGGGTATAACCCAGACCCCCCCGGTCTGGAGTCCTTCAAATTTTCCTATTTTGGAAGATTCCATGCGCGAGAGTTGTAATGACTGGACGTTTTGGGGAAGAATCTAACACCGGGGGGTCTGGGGGGGGGTATGGAATACCCCCAGGAACGGAAGATTTGTTGAGCCTTTTCACAAAGCAATTGCGAGAGCAACTGTCATGGAAGCTTTTTGAAAAAGGTAGTCCATTCCTCTTGAGTGTGCTGGGGGGGTTATTCCATATCCCTGCAGGCCCCCCAAAATGTTTTAAATAATTCTTTCTGGAGTGCGTTCAAAATTCCTCATTCTGAGACAAGTTTAATAAACGAGAGTTCTAATGAAGATTTGTTGACCTTTTTCAAAAAGCAACTGTTATGGAAGCTTTTTGAAAAAGGTAATCCATTCCTCTTGAGTGTGCTGGGGGGAATTCCATACCCCCAGACCTCCCGGTCCCCCAAAATGTTTTAAATAATTCTTTCTGGAGTGCCTTCAAAATTCCTTATTCTGAGACAAGTTTTATAAACGAGAGTTCTAATGACTGGACGTTTTGGGGAAGAATCTAACACCGGGGGGTCTGGAATACCCCCCAGCACACACAAGAGGAATGGATTACCTTCCTCCAGGAACGGAAGATTTGTTGACCCTTTTCAAAAAGCAACTGTCATGGAAGGTTTTGGAATAAGGTAATCCATTCCGCTTGAGTGTGCTGGGGGGTATGGCCCCAGACCCCTCGGTCCCCCAAAATGTTTAAAACAATTAGCGTGCACATGATTCTTTCTGGAGTACCTTCAAATGTTCTTATTCTGAGACAAGTTTTATAAACGTTCTAATGACTGGACGTTTTGGGAAAGATCTAACACTGGGGGGGGGGGGGGGGGGGGTATGGAATACCCCCCAGCACACACAAGAGGAATTGATTACCTTCCCCCAGGAACGGAAGATTTGTTCACCCTTTTCAGAAAGCAACTGTCATGGAAGCTTTTAGAAAAAGGTAGTCCATTCCTCTTGAGTGTGCTGGGGGGTATTCCATACCCCCCCAGACCCCCAAAATGTTTTAAATAATTCTTTCTGGAGTGCCTTCAAATTTCCTTATTCTGAGACGTTTTATACGGGAGAGTTCTGATGACTGGACGTTTTGGGGAAGAATCTAACACCGGGGAGTCTGGGGGGTATGGAATACCCCCCAGGAACGGAAGGTATGTTGACCCTTTTCAGAAAGCAATTGTCAAGGAAGCTTGTGGAAAAAGGTAATCCATTCCTCAAGAGTGTGCTGGGGGGGATTCCATACCCCCCCTCAACCCGGACCCGCCGGTCCAACAAAATGTTTAAAACAATTAGCGTGTAAATAATTTTTTCAGAAGTACCTTCAAATTTCTTTATTCTGAGACAAGTTTTATACACGAGAGTTTTAATGACTGGACGTTTTGGGGAAGAAACTAACACCGGGGGGTCTGGGGGGTATGGAATACCCCCCAGGAACGGAAGATTTGTTCACCCTTTTCAGAAAGCAACTGTCATGGAAGCTTTTGGAAAAAGGCAATCCACTCCTCTTGAGTGTGCTGGGGGATATGACCCCCCGGTCCCACAAAATATTCAAAACAATTAGCCTGCTTATGCTTCTTTCTACAGTGCCTTGAAATTTTCCTTTTGGAAGCATATTTTACACACGAGAGTTCCAAGGACTGCGCGTTTTGGGGAAGAACCTAACACCGGAGGGTCTGGAATACCACCCAGGAACAGAAGATTTGCTGATCCTTTTCAGAAAGAAATTGTCATGGCAGCTTTTGGAAGAAGATCATTCCTCCTGTGCTGGGGAGGATTCCCCCAAAATGTTTAAAACAATTACAGTGGCTATAATTACTTTCTAGAAAGTGCCATCCAATTTTCCCCTCAACAGAGGAAAAATAGATTACTAACCAGCATGCTAGGTGTTCGGAGACATGCTGGGAGAGAACGTAGCGCCCGCCAGGTCTGGGAGTATGGAGTACTCTCCAGGAAAAGCAGATTACTGGCCCTTTCCCGAAAGGTAATGTACTCCTCCTGTGTTGGAATTAATTGGTAACTATAGAGAAAGAAAACTTCATGGAAACGTTCTGATGGATCCGAAACGAATTTGAAGAAATTAAGGAATTCGAATATTCTGAAACGGGAGAATGAGATTGAGAAAGATTATGACGAAACCGAAACGGTGGGAAAGTATCGAACAGAATAAACTGAAAGATCAGAAAAATCCGAATCAAGAGAACCTAAAGGAATTAAAGAATCTCAGGAATCACATCAAAAGCGATCCAGAGAATAAGAAATATTGATTTTGTTTTATGGGGAATAAATTATACATTATTATTATTATTATTTTCGAGTCTGGCAAATCTGAACGGGATTTGGAAAAAATCGAATAATTTGAAGATTTGTAAAATTAAAGATTCGTAGGAATTTACGGAATTGATAAAAACTACAATATCGGCACCTATAAATTTCGCGATTAATCCGAAGTGAACGGAAAAGAACCAAGAAGTTTAAAAATCATCGGATTAAATTAAATTACGAAGGCATCGGCAAATTAATTAAAAATCACCTGCACTTTTAAGAACAATTTTTGTTCGAAAAGACGACCAAAATGTTTCTGCAATTTTTGTGAAATTCTTCCACTGTGCGATTGTTCTTTAAATGAACCCGGTATACATAAAGCCAAATTTGGTGGCAAAAAAATTGAGTTCTTTTTGATTCTGAAGTAAGTACTTTTGTAAATAAAAACAATGGCAATTTTTGAAAAATTCCCCGAGTACCTACGCGATTGTAATTAGAAACAGTTGAAAAAACATACCTAAGTCCTCGAGTTTGAAAATGGCACTGATTTTCCGCACTTTAGCTTCTCTTTAAGCGAGACCCGCGTCAAAAACGAGGTTCAGTGGAATTTCGGCAATAAAACTTTATCGCGATTACGAGCAATAAAGTAAACGAGCAAAAGGTTAAGAGGCGAGCGGCTGCAAAACGTCCGACTCTTCTCGGCCGAGTGTAAATAAATAAAGGGAACGAAGCGACATGGTAACATAATGAACTTTTGATAAGGCGCGATTCGATAACAATATTTGCATGAGTGAAACTTTTTTGGGAACGGCGCGGATAGTAAATAAATTGGTATTTATAGCGCAAAGCGTTGACCTTCTTTTCGATTGACACTGTTTAATAAAAAAAAAGGGACTCACCCTCAAGTTTCATGCCGACCTCGAGGCACTTCTGGAAGCGACAGTACGGGCACCGCTTCCTCTGCGTCTTGTCGATGTGACAGCTCCTTTCCGCGACGCACGTGTAAACCTTCTTGTTTTGCACGGTCCTCTTGAAGAAACCCTTGCACGATTCGCACGTGAGCAGTCCATAGTGGTAACCGGACACTTTGTCGCCGCACACCGGACACAATTCTTCGATTCCGTACTTCGTATCGGGTAGGTCACCCTGCGAGGCGGAATGTGGAGGAATCGTGTATCCCGGTCCCATATCCATGCCGGACAGCGAGCTTCCTCCTGAGGAAAATAAGTAAGACGCGTCCAGATTATTCATGCTGTAAGAGTTCATGTTCGAGTGTTGGTGGTGCTGCTGAGGCTGATCGAGGGGGATGCCCTGCTGGCAGCTGCTGTTGTACGCGCCTCCGAGAGGAGGCGAACCGTACAACGGGGGCGGCATAGGGCTCGACGCCTGAGTGACCGAGGTGACCGGGGAGCCACCGGGACTCATACTAAACGGATTGAGCGATAGCAACGTGGAATGCTGTTCCATTTCCAATAACATTATTCATGCAGCGCGTCTTTTAAGTTACAAGTGAACGTCTTATAGTTAGTAATCCATTAGTAATAGAAGGGACGGCACAACAAATTAACGCAACAACGTACATCACTGAGACACAACACAAAATTCTGAGAGTAATCCAAGAAAAGCGAAAGGTAATCCGTGACACAACACAACAATCCGCTGAACACACACGCACCAAAAAAGAGACGTGCACCAAGAAACACGAAGACCACGAAACCGACTGACCAGTAGCGACAAGCATCTACAGCGGCTGTATTCCCTACCGACGGCGGCGGCAGCAACTTGCGAATGGCACGGGGGTACAATGAAAAATGATTAGGAGTCCATGTAATAAGTGAAAGTGACTCGGGGGACTGGTGACCCACTTTCCCATGAACCAGGTCTATGTTAGAGCTGTTGTGAAGTCATACATACAACACTTACAACATCGCACACACACACACACACTATCTGGGCAGGATTTTAGAGGGGGGGGGGCACCTGGTGGGGCTTAGTGGGGATAACCTACTAACCTACATGAAGACGGCGCATCACGAGTACGCTCGCGCAGACTTGGAGTTCTTTACCTGCCGCAACACTTCACAGATGATATGCATCCCGAAGGAGTAGCCGCGCGCCGCGCCCGTTGCCAACCCTTTTTCTCGACAAATGAGCGACAGGTGTCGACGCGTTTGGGAAATTTTACAAGAGGCAAGGGCAATTAATTTCAACCGCCTCATTAAGCGAAATTAGCGATCGTCATTTTAATTACTTGTCAATCGTACTTGTAATTCGGAATTTGTCTTATGTACAATTTAGTTTAGCGTGACGCATCGTAACCGGTCAAATTTGACAAATGTTTAATTAATTAATTCCATTTAACTAACCTCAAAAATGGAAACTGTTGCTATGGGATTTGATGATGTTTTTACCGGGAACGCAGCACCGGGGTGTCTGAGAATCCGCAAGTTTTTCTTTACTGGGAGGTATATGTAATATTATGGAATACCACCCCAGTAATAGGTATACTGAGGGGTATTCCTAACCTCCCCGAACTACTCGGTTCTATGTTTTTTTACCCAAAATCGAATATTACCCACCCTGAGCGTACTTACCCCATACATGTCGAGAAGGGACAATTGAACGTGGCGGTAGAAACACGCGGGCTATGGAATATTAGACAAGAAAAGAAGATTTGATGATACTTTTACCACGAGAGTCCTCGGGGGTTCACGTTTTTCGAGGGAACACACCAACTGGGGATCTGGAATACCCTCCAGTATACGTAATACTATGGAACATCCCAACCCCAAATTTTTCATATACTGGGAGATATTCCGGTTTCATTTCGAGAAGGGATCTGCCCCCCCCCCCTGCCACCGTTTGGGAGCGTGTAGGTGGTGCGTAGGGGAGTATTTTGATATAGGACACTTGGGGTCGGAAATCTAAAATAAGGGCGCCAGAACCAAATTTATCTTCTGGAATTTCACGCCTGTATGTAGGCAACCCAACCGACCGACGTTTCGCGCGGAGCGATGCAGAGCGAGTTAGCGCGAGGAAGCGACATGGGAGGGAAGGAGGGAAAACGACAGTCAAAAGCAATAACGTTTACAAGTGTTCAACGTGGCCACCGTTGTTCTCAATGCACTTCCTACATCTAGCCAACTATTATTATACTATTGCCATAGTGTTTATTCACTTGATACGCGTCGTTGCAGACGGGATTTCGTGGGTTTAAACAAAATTCTGATCAAGTGTCAGCCACACATCGCCGCCTGAGATCGCTCCGTGTGCACCGCCGGCCGGTTGGGTTGCCTACCTACAGGCGCGAAATTCCAGAAGGTAAATTTGGCTCTGGCACCCTTATTTTAGATTTCCGACCCCAAGTGTCCTATATCAAAATACTCCCCTACGCACCACCTACACGCTCCCAAACGGTGGCAGGTACTATAGGAATCACCCTGTATGTAGATTGATCGCCATAATTTCCTTAAACTCGGCAATAGAGATCTGGACCTGTTGAAAATACCAGTTCTGGTTTATCGAAAAAATATTTAAAACGGTTCCGGTCCGAGTTTCGGTTCTAAAATTAATTTCGGTTCCGGTTTCGTTTTTTTTCGGTTCAAATGGTCCGGATCTATTAGAATTAGGGTTCTGATTCATATTTATAACGATACTAGTTCTAAACATCTTTGTTTTGAATCTTTTTTTTAGTTCACAATGGTTTTTAAAAACGGTTAGCTACCAATCATGCATGAGTAAATAACCGAAACCTGACTAGCGGCTTACTTGATTAAAAATTAGAATTGACTTGGCTAGGAGACTGACATACAAAAAATATTTTACATTCACACAAAAAAAGAAGAAGAAAAATCAGAACCAAGTATGTATTCAACAAATCTATTTTAAGAATGGCAGTGGCTAAATTACCGCCCACAGATTTCCCTTCAGGCATTGCCAGAAAACTTTAACTTCCCAGTGTGCATCTCAGAATCGGTAAAACAAAAAAAAATAATATGGATTCCGGTTTTCAGTATTTTTTTAAGGGGAGAAATTACGGTTTCGGTTGTGATTTCGGCTCTGAAAAAAGAAACGGTTCCGGTACGGTTTTCGGTCCGGTCCAGATTAGAGAATGCGAAATATCATGAAAGCGCTAATAAAGTTTTGTGAAGAATCATGTACGACAACGGGCCTGGTTGTTATAAAATACCCCACCCACCTCCCCCAAGAAAGATTCGACTACCACTTTCTAGAAACAACTGTAAGAATGTGACAGCTGTTTTGGGTGAAAACGTAACATAAGGGAATTTGGGGGTACGAAATATCTCCCCCCCCCCCCACTGATTACTTTATACCCCAGAAAAGACGATTTCATGAGCACGAGAGTCCTCAGAAATTAACGTTTTGCGAGGGAACACACCACTGGGAGGTGGGGGGGGGGGGTTGAATACTCCAAGTATACGTAATACTATGGAATACCCCAATCCCCAGTATTATGGTATAACGTATACTGGGGGATATTCCGGTTCTGTTTTTACCCAAATCGAATATTACTACCCCGTAGAGGCACGTGGGGTATGGAATACTCGTCAAGAAAAGAAAATTTGAAGATACTTTTTGAAAGTAATAACAATAATGTCTTTATTAGATTAAAGGGCGAATTTCACCTAGGGGCAATATCGCCACCAGGTGTTCTTCCGCTTAACCCCGAGTCCTCAGGGGTTAACGTTTCGCAAGAGAGAACGCAGCAGCCAGGGATTTCAAAAGATTTCATGATAATTGCAGAAAGGAGATCGTCAAAATGTTCCTTTACTGAAAGATATTCCATACTCCCCCCAAATTTCGGAAGAGGATGATAGAATATAGCAACAGGGGAGTATTAGGTATGGAAAAGGAAGATTCGATTGTATTCCGAGAGTCCGAGTTTTTCGAGGGAGCACACCATCGGCGGGTCGGGCCCCCCCCCCCCCCCCCCGTATACGTAGATTTCATTCGTGATGATTGTAAGGAAAGGATCACCATAATTTCCTTAAACTAAGCAGCAGGGATCTGGACCAATTGAAAATACCGGTTCTGGTGCTATCGAAAAAATATTTGTAACGGTTCCGGTCCGCGTTTCGGTTCTAAAAATAATTGCGGTTCCGGTTTCGGGTTTTTCGGTTCAAATGGTTCGGATCTATTGGAATTACGATTCTGGTTCATATTTATAACGACTCTAGTTCTAAACGTCCTTATTTTGAATCTTTCTTTTAGTTCCTAATGATTTTTTCGGTTTCAAGAAAAAACCGAAGCCTGTCTAGCGGCTTACTTGATTAAAAATTAGAATGGATTGGCTAGGAGATGAACCTATATCACAGAGTGACTGACATACACAGAACATATTTGACATTCACAAATTGGCATGGATTCCGGTTCTCAGTATTTTTTTAAGGGGAGAAATTACGGTTTCGGTTGTAATTTCGGTTCTAAAAACGGTTCCGGTATGGTTTTCGGTCCGGTTCTATGTCTTTACCCAAAACAAATATAACTACTCCTTACATGTCGAGAAGGGACAATTGAAAGTGGCAGTAGAGGCACGTGGGGTATGGAATACTCGTCAAGAAAAGACGATTCCATGATACTTTTACCACGAGAGTCCTGAGAGGTTAACAGTTTGCGAGGGAGCGTATCACCGGGGGGTCTGGGGGGTATGGAATACCCCCCAGCATACGTACACTTTATTCTTATGGGTATACACAAATGATTTCGGGCTGATTGAAGAGAAAGGTTCTTCAAGTTTCTCTTGGCTGGGAGGTATTCTACACCCCCCAGACCCCCCGGTTTTGTGTTTTTACCCAAAATCCATAAGACACCCTGTGTATTTCGGTAAATTTTGATAAAATTTGAAGATACTTTTTGAAAGTAATAATAATAATAATAATGTCTTTATTAGATTAAAGGGCGAAGTTCACCTAGGGGCAACATCGCCACCAGGTGTTCTTTCACTTAATTAACCCCCAGTCCTCAGGGGTTAACGTTTTGCAAGAGAACGCAGCACCGAGGAGTCTGGGATTTCAAAAGATTTCATGATAATTGCAGAAAGATGATCGTCAAATTTTTCGTTTACTGAAAGGTATTCCATACTCCCTCCAAATTTCGGAAGGGGATGATAGAATATAGCAACAGGGGAATATACCCCCCACCCCCTCCCAGTATACGTAGATTTCATTCGTGATGATTGTAAGGAAATATTTATAACGGTTCCGGTCCGCGTTTCGGTTCTAAAAATAATTTCGGTTCAAATGGTCCGGACTCCGGAGCTATTGGAATTACGGCTCTGATTCATATTTAGAACGATTCTAGTTCTAAGCATCCTTGTTTTGAATCTTTTTTTAGTTCCTAATGGTTTTTTCGGTTTCAAGAAAAAGACGAAGGCTGTCTAGCGGTTTTCGGTCCGGTCCAGATCAATACCATGAGAACGGGGATAAAGTTTTGTGGAGAATAATGTACGATAACGGGCCTGGTGATTATATAATCCCCCCCCAATCCCCATGAAGATTCGACTACCGCTTTCTAGAAACTATTGTAAGAATGTGACAGGGGTAAATAAAACGTAACAGAAGGGAGTTTGGGGAACGAAATACCCCCCCCCCCCAACTGATAATACGGGTTTCAAATTTGCAAATCGTTTAAGATGCTGCCAAAAAAACTGTACATACAACAGTCCCACATTTTGGAAGTGTGTGAAGCGAACGGCTTTGTAGTTCAGTAGTAGAGCGTTGGGCTACAAAACCGGAGGTCGGGTGTTCGAACCTGAGTTGAGGTGAATTTTTTTCATCTGTGGTAGAGATGGAAATGTCCTTAGATCAGTTTCGAGCATTCTGTCGGTTATTCCGAATTCGGTTTTCCTAATTCGTAAGGAGTAGTATAGAACAACTTAAGACCTTCTGCAGAGGCACCTCTAAAAAGCATTATGCGA